GCATTTCCTATTCGTGCTTGCCAGTTTTGAGAGGATGTCTGCCCTGGTGTTGCATTCTCGAGGAACGTGTTTTACTTCTGCAGAGTCGAATTCTTTCATCCTCTCCTTGACCAAGGCGAGGTACTCGGTGAGGTTGTTATTCTTGGCCTGTTATTCTCCCCAAACATGAGAGGCTACAAGCTAGGAGTCGGTAAATATCTTTATCTCCTTCACGCCAAGGTCTTATGCCAGGCAAAGCCCTACGAGGAAGGCCTCGTACTCGGCCTGGTTTTTTGACGTCGGGAAGGCTAGGTCGAGGGAAACTTCTTTCAAGATACCTTCTTTGTTCTCCAGGATGATGCTCGCTCCATTTCCTATCGAGTTGGAGGCCCCGTCGACGAAGATGGTCCACTTGTGGGCTCCTAGTGTTAGGGAAACCGCGACAGTCATATTTGCGACGAAGTCGGCTAGAACTTGACTCGTAAGGGTCTTTCTGCTCTAATACTGAATGTCGAACTCGGAGAGTTCGAGTGACCATTTGAGCATCTTGCCCACCATGTCGGGGCGCTCGAGTAGCTGTTTTATAGGCTAATATGTCCTGACCATAATCGTGTGGGCTAGGAAGTAGTGTCGTAGACTTTTGGCCGCATTGATGAGGACCATAGCAGCATTCTCGATCTGCTGGTATCTGAGCTCAGGGCTCTGCAACGCTTTGCTGGTGAAGTAGATTGGCTTTTTCCCCTCGGGGGTTTCGCAGACGAGGGTCGCGATGACAGCTTCAGCTGCGACGACGAGGTACAAAAATAAAGAGTTTCCTCGTCCTTAGGTCATGACAGAACTGGAGGTTCTGAGAGGACTTGTTTGAGATGGAGGAGGGCTTGTTTGCACTCCTCGGTCCACTCAAACGTGGCCCCCTTGTGCAGAAGCTTGAAAATGGGATTGCGTGTTGGGCAGACTTGGCCGTGAAGCGGGACAATGAGGCGAGCATCCCGTTGAGGGATTGGATCGACTTCTTTGAGTTCAACGTTGGGAACTCGGAGAAGTCTCTGCATTTGTTGGGGTTCACCTTGATTCCTTGTTCCATCAAGTAGAAGCCGAGGAACTTTCCTGCTCGGACACCGAAGGTGCACTTCTCCGGGTTGAATCTCATTCTGCACCTCCTCGCCGTATCGAAGACCCTTCTGAAATGGGTGGTATGGTCAATTTCTTCACGTGATTTCACGATCATGTCGTCCATGTAGACCTCGAGCGTGTCTCCGATTTCTCCTTGAAAGACCTTGTTCATCATTCGCTGGTAGGTCGTGCCTGGGTCTTTCAGAATGAAAGGCATTACGTTGTAGTAATAATTTCCCAACTTGGTTATGAAAGTCGTGTACTGCTTTTCGGCCTTCGCCATGGGGATCTGGTTGTACCCCGAGTATGCATCCATGAACAATGTAGTTTGAAACCTACAGAATTGTCGACCAGTTTGTCAATGTTAGGCAATGGGTATGCATCTTTGGGACATGCTCGGTTAAGATCAGTATAATCAACACACATATGCCACTTCTGGTACTTCATTCTGCTCCTGCATGTTGGGGAAGCGGTTTTCGAGATAGACAGAGATGACGTGAGGCAGTGACCTTCTATTCCTCAGTGCAGGCTGGCTTGCCAGCATTCTTGGGCGTGATATTGATCGAGTTAAGCCCTTTGATGGCCGCTTCAAAACATCTTCTAGCCGTTTCGATGTCTCCGTGAAAGGTGACTATTCAACCCCTGGTCATGTAGTACTTCATCTTTAGGGTGTATTGTGGATGGCACAACAGTCAGCTCAGCCAGGATCGATCTCCCCATAATGAATTGGTACAAGGAGGGGCACTCTATTACCAAGAAACGAACTTTGACCTGTCTCGCAGTCTCTTCGGCTCCGAAGGTGATGATCAGCTCCACATATCCCCATGGCTTCATGGTCGTACCATTGAAGCCCTATAAGTCAGAGCCGACATACAATGTCAGATGCCTCTCATCGAGTTGGAGAGTGGTGAAAAGATGGGCTTACATTATGTCCACCGAGCTTCCTTGGTCGACGAGAATGCGACGGACGTCGAAGTTCGCCATATGACCCCTGATCAGCAGGGGGGCTGGAGTTGGGGGCGCCACCAGGAAGCTACTCGAGGTAGAAGGTGATTGGATTCGAGTTATCCTTTAACCTATCGAGGGTGACGGTTTTCTATGAATTTTGGTCAATCAACTCAAATTTCCTCTTTCCCGACCCTATCGAAAGCTTGTTGGGATCCTGTCAGAGATGACCATCGCATATGGGAAGTTCTCCCACAGGCTACGAGTGAAAAACAAAGTGACGGTCTTGTAAAGGAGGCAGAAGCCCTCCGGCCGGGAGATGCATAGGGCGACCTGTAGCCCAGTCTCGTCTGAGGGTGGCGTCACATCCTTGACCTTCTTTGCCCCGTGGGCCTCCTGTCTAAGAACCCCGTTCCTTCGAGTGTATTGTTTCAGGTTCCTTTCTTTGATTAGGATTTAGATGGCATCCTTGAGGTGGACGCAATCTTCTGTGACGTGTCCATGACTCCTATGGAATCGGCAATACTTGGACTTGTCGATGTTGGGGTTAAGGGGTGTCGGCTTTGTGAAGCGGACACCACCTCTTTGGAACTCTGAGTTTATGCACTCAGCCAAAATGCGCTTGCGGAGAGTTGTGAGTAGCATGTACTCGATGAATCGTCCAGCTGATCCCCTCTGCTCCCGGGAGTCTCAGGCTGATCTTCTCTCCTTCTCTCACCACCTTGTTGGGGAGCGGTGGAGTATTCGTGTCTAGAATTTCTGGCGATCTCCTGGTTCCGTGAGTCGCGGGCGCATTTGGCGGCCTCCTTCTCCTTGTATTAGATGTAGGCTTGAGCCTTGTGAAGGAGCGCGTCTAGCATGTTAGACCTTTCGATGCCAACTACCTTGGAAAACTCAGTGTGAGGTTGCAGACCTCGCTCAGTCAGATACCTCTTCATGTCATCTGAGGTAGATACTTGTATAACTTCTCGGTTGAATATCTCTATCTAGTCCCATAGAGATTCTTCCTTCTCCAGAATGATGGCTTCTAGGGATGCTTTCGTCTTCGGGTGTTGCCGGGAACCAATGAAGTACTTGGAAAAATGCCTCTTCAGCTCCCTCCAGGAGGTGATGAATTCGAGCTTGAGGCTCTTATACCACGTCATTGCGCCCTTCCTTAGAGTCGTGGTAAAGAGCCTGCACTTTATGGCCCCCCGTACATTCTGGTAGTCGAGCATCATATTGATGCTTTCAATGTGGTCGTCTGGTTCGGTTGTACCATCGTAGGTAGCTAGGACAGGGGATTTTTCATCCCAATGGGTATACAAGTTTCCATGATAGCCTTGGACATAGTAGTGTGAAGGTCGTCTTCATCGCTCCTGACGGGCGACTGTGACGGGGATACGTCGTACCGAGGACTCCGCTCGCACCAGGAAAAACTTATCGGTCGACTCTTTTGTTTCTCTATATGCCCGTCAGCTCTATTTCTCTTAGGAGTTGGGGGCATCGCTCTTTCTGGGAAGGAGAGCGGTCACGCTTCTGGGCGGCCATGAGCTGAGGCCTTTCCAGTCGCGAACAACGCCCAGGACGACATAGAGAGGGACTTCGTAACTCATCATGTTGCGGCCTCCACGGGGGAGGTGAAGGAAGGGCTTCTCGTCGCCATAGAGATGGGCTGCGAGAAACCGGGCGACGATGTCTTCACAGGGGAGAGCATGATTATCGCTCCTTTTCCAGCATCCCAATCTGCTCATTCTGCTAAAAGATCATCAAGTTCATCTGATTTATTTCTGTGAAGAGAGCCACCATGGCCGGGTCGGCGTTGTGCGGCACAGGGATTGGTTGGAAGATAGATTGGCTGTCAAAACGTCGAGCAGCGTTAACGGTCGCATCGTCGGGGGTGGGAGAGGCAGTGTGCCCATCCCTGGCGTCACCTTCCTCGACGTGAAAATTCATGTTGGGATCGTGATCATCGCTGTTGGTGAACATGGTGAAGCCGGTTTCATGGACGTTATCGTCATTGTGTGGGTTGGACATGATCAATGAAGGTTGAGGTATGCTTTGGTTCTTGTAATTCTTTGGAATGAAGAATAGGGAAGCAAGTTTCCCACAGACGATGCCACTGATCTTACCGGATCAGAAAAGTATCAGCAGCCAGTAACACGCCGTGTGCTCCTTAATTTGCCGGTGATGGGGAAGATGAGGGGGTGTACCTGCAAGGTACTGTGATACCAAAGTAAGAGACGGAGTAGAAAGAGCAAGTACAAAAAAGATGTAGAAAGAATAGAATATCGAACCCTCTAGTGAAATAGGCTATTTATAATGTGCCTCCACCGCAGAGCCAACGGTTACTTTGCATTGGGTTGGATCTCTTAGCCCAATACAAGTAATTTCCAGGGCTTACGTGGCATAGGGAAGACCAGCACGTGGTCTTCGCTCTGGGTCAACTACCCCGTAATCTTTGGAAGATGGGCAGTGGCTTGATGATGTGTCCCCGCGTGGGGGGTACGTGGAGACCGTGGGGGAGACGTGCGAGAGCTCCCTGTGTGCGTTGATGGATTGGGCCTTCATTGGACCCTCCCCGACGAGGATCTAGGTTGGGTCGTACCCGACGGTGGGCCAGCCTCTGGCCTAGTCCAGAACACCATGCATTTGGTTTCATAAGATTGACGTTCTAACACACAATACGATTGTCATTCTAACCCAATTTTCAAATATTCTAAAAAGGTAGCGATTGAAATTTATGGAGGTCAACGAATGAGAGAAATGTATGAAAGAGGAAATATGACCGTTGCAGACTGGTTCTTGGCATGAAGCCAGTTGCGGAGGTGTGCGGTGCCTCTACGGAGGTGCATCTTCTTCTCTTGCTCGTCTCCCCTCTCGCTTGTTCTATTTCCAATTTTAGGTGTGGTTTGCTTTTGGATTTAGTTTAAATTCCTAATCTAAGATTAGGGACCTTTCGAAAAGCCCTCCATTATCTAAATATGAGATTTTCTTCTTCTGCTTCTTTCCCTTTTATTGTGTTTATGATGGATTCAACTCTATTTCCTGAAACGGTCATAGCTGATGCGCCTGATAAAGGTACAAATATATCCACTGAAAAACCTCTAAAATCCTTTGTTGAGGCTCTTGGTAATGTTTGTCATATTCTAGCGAGTCAATTACTGGTTCCCTGTGTTAAAAAAGACCATATCTCCATTGCAATTCTAGAAAACGAATACCTCTTTGGAGTGGAGGCTTGTAAACACAATTTGCACGGCCGAATTTTGTGGCCTAAGGGTTTTTCCCCTCTTACAGTATTGCAGCCCAAAGCCAAACTAAACACATTATGGATTTGTATAAACAAATGGGGTGTTACCTCCCTTGGCAAAGGATTCTTTGAATTTTGTTTCTCTACTTGGAAGATGTTAGAAGAGTTCAATCGAATTCTTCTTGGAACCTAAACCCTGGATCGTTGAAGCTTTTCCCTTGGTCGAAAGATTTCATCCCTAATAATGTCAATCATTCTTCTGCTCAAGTTTGGGTCAGGATTCTTGGGCTTCCTCAAGAATATTGGAGACCTAAAATCATATTTGTTATAGCTAGCAGCCTTGGTACTCCTATATGTATTGATTCCACTTCCAATCATTCTCAGTTTAAATGGGCCTTCGGTCATTTTGTTCGTGTTTTGGTGGATGTTGATTTGCTCTCTGAACTTAGAGATAATATTCTGGTAGAACGCACCTACTTTGCATTTTTTGTAGGTATTGAATAAGAGAAGTTGTCGGACTTTTGTCAATTTTGTAAGGCTTTTGGTCATACTAAAAATAATTGCAGAAGGAAGAAAAGCAAAGAAGAAACATATAAATCTGATAATGAGGATAAGTCAAAGAAACCATTTTTTTCTACTTTCATTAAAAAAAACACATGTTAATGAGAATATGTAAACTGAGTCAGAGAGAAGTAAAAATTTACACTTGGGGGAAACAAGCCGTGTTCATAAGGATGTGATACTGTTGCACCCCAAAATTTGCTCAACCTTGTTCTTACCTGGTTTATGTTTCATTGCATTAGCATTTGCATAGTTATATCATTTGCATATCATGTTATCATTCATATAGCAGGGGATCAAGTGTTATTCTTGTCAAAAGAAGCCTAGCAAGAGGTATCATTCAAGATTGAGAGTTATCAAAGTCATCAGAAGTTGGTTTGAGTGCCTAAGGGTTTAGATGTTTGAGTGTGAATCTTCTCCTAATTTGAGGATCAACTGAAGACCATCAGAGGGTTGTGAAGTGTTGAATGTGAGAAGAGTATGTGTATGGAGCTCATAGAATTCCTAGAGGGCCATGGGAGAGTTTAATCAAGTCATTGTGTCAAATGCAAGAGTCACAGTTGAGGTGCAAGCAATTAGGGTTTCATCTGGGTTAATCCTAAGTCAACTGGACAATTGAAGAGTATCAAAGCCTACTTTTAGGTCATGGAGTTCATGAAATGATGTGATAAGACATTTTTGGTGTTGTTCCAAGATCAAATCAAGAAGAATCAAGAGTGTGGGAAGTTGCTAAGTTAGGGTTTCAGTGTAAAATCCCCTGTTTAGTGCCTAACTTCAAGACCACATAAGTCAAATTACAAGTTTCAAATGGATCTTTGGCTAACATGAAACTTGTAGAACATCTCAATACCTTTAATTTTAGTACTAGAAGTCCTCCATTGGATTTATAGAACTCAAGTTATGGCCTAGACAAGTTACAAGTCCTCAGATGCCACTGAAATTTGTCTGCGAAAATCATCTGACTTCAAAGCTATTTTTGACCTAGAAGGTGGTTTCACCTGAACTTTTGGCCAACATAGAAGTTGTTCCTCATGATCTTATCTTTCTAAATTGTACTAGAAGTCTTCCATATGATTTGTAGAACTCAAGTTATGAGGTTTACGAGTCAGGGGTATTTTGGGAAAGTGAGATTATAGGTCATTTTCAATCATTGGTCAAAATCTCCAACTTGCACTTGTCAAATGGATTTTTGTTCAACATGAAAGTTTCTTAAAACATGATTTTAAGTGCAACTAAGCGGTCATTTGGGATTGGTTTGGCTTATAGCAAAAAGTCACTTAAAATGGCCTAAAAAAGAGAATATTTTAAATGGATTAAGGAGGGAAATTTGACTTTTTGAGTTAGAGGACCAAAACATGGCATATGAGTACATTTTTGAATGGAAATCACATTCTAAGAACATTGGCATTGGCATAATTTTAAGCATAGGCCAAGTTTTGGGAGTTGTCATTTAGATTACTTCGCCATGAAGTTACATAATCAAAAATAGCCATTGGATCAAATACAAGGAGCAAATCTCAGCCATTCACACTCCACATGTTGTTATTAGTTGAATTGAATCATCTTGGAGCCAAAACAATGCCATTTTCGTGTACCTTCAAGAGCAAAAAGTGGTGAAATTTTGAAAATTCATTTTGGGCCTAGAGGCAAGGATTTGGCTTTCTTTGGATCCATATCCATTGTATATAAGATTTCTAACCTTCACAAATCATTAGTTTTGGAAATTGGAGCAGAATTGATTAAGAACAAGCTTGAAAAAGTGAAGAACACTCAAAAAGTGAATTTCAAGATCTAGATCGTTTCAGGCCAAATTGTGAATTGAGAAAGTTTTATTGAAGATCATTGAACGATTCTGGAGAGTTTCGCGAAGCTTCATCAAGGATTAAAGGCTCAGTGGAAGTTCTCCACTAGGTACTTGAATTTCACTATATCTCTCTTAATACTTGATGATTCTTCGCCATTTTCGTTTCTTTGCACTCCTTGAAGCATGTAGATCATTTCTGGATTATAATTGTTGATGTTTATGACGTTCGAAATTTGGAACTCCAAACTTGTGAAATTTTATATGGACTATTTTGGCATGATTTGGCTTAGTTTTTGCTTGATCTATAACCTCCATGACATAAGGATGAGTTTAGAATTAATTTGGAGAGGTTTTGATGAGTTTGAGTTTTTGGTACCAAACTTTGTTTGCTTCGTTTCTCTTTGATCTTGCATTATTAATAATTTTGGATGAGATATTTGGAATCCTTGCAAGAAGTAGATGAATTTTGATATAAAAAACTCTAAAAACGGTTGAGTTTTGCAATTTTTATGTGTTGTTGAACACTTTGTGGTGGCCGGAGTTTGTGAAGAAGATGACTGGAGTACTATTCTGGTGGTGGTGGAGAAGAAGAGCAGCACGTGTTGGATCGTGAGGGGAGGAAGACTTTGTCTCCCGATCGGAGGCTCAAGAACGCGCCACGTGGCCTCACGCCTAAGCGGCGTCGTTTTGGCCAAGCGCAGGGGACCTGAAGCGCGTCAGTTGGATTCCTCACCCATGCATTTTCTTTTTACTGCTTTGGTTTTCCATTAACTCACCATTTCATTTTCCATTTTATTTTTTTATTTTCTTTTTATTTTTCTGTTTTATTGCCTGTTTGCTTTAATTAGTTTTAAAATAGTAAAAATCATCAAAAAATTATGAAATGTTTTTTTGTAGTTTCTGAATGTCTTAAGAATTGTTATGCGTTGATTTTACATTTTTAGGATTTAATTTGAATTAGTTATGATTTTCCTTTTGTTCTAACGTCCATTGTGTTGCATATTTGACCATCTATTTTGTAGAATTTTTTTCTTCCAATTGGTGATGAATTTGGCTTTGATTTTTTAATATGTTTTAGGGTAGATATTCATGTTCCCTCAAAAAATTTATTAGAATTTTAAAACAACTTTAGGTTCTGTTTTAGGTGTTGAGATTAGAGTCTTCCCAAACTTATGGATTACCTTGATACATTTCAATCTAGAATTTATTTAGGTGACTTAGAAGTTGAATTAGGCTTTAATATTTTAAAACCAGGCTGTTAAAACATGTATGTTCCCCTAGGAATTTAACTAGAATTTTATAATTTTGTTTGCTATTTTTTTTGAATTTTGCAAATTGCTTGTGTTTGTGTGGTGCTCTCTTGAGTACCTTTGCTTGTTTGGCTTGGTTGGTGACTTTGGAGCTTGCTTGGCTTGGAATCCTTTTTGGGAGGTCTTCTAGACTTGATATAGATGCTATGGCTTGAAGATTGGAGCTTGGAGTTGGAGATTCCTTTTCTTTTAGGAGTTGTTTTTGGAGCTTAGGAAATTAGGATTTTAGGAATGGCTATTAGAGCTAGTTTTGATTTCTTCATCAAACATAGAATGCATTGTGTGCTTCTATTCCATCCAATGACATGAAGTCCTCCTAGGGAAACTCCATATCTCCTTTGGAGGGATGTGTGGTATGCCCATAGTTGAATAGAACTTTGAGGATACCTTTCCATTTCAATGTTGGTACTTGATGATTTCCTTTGGTTTTCATTAAGTTTTCAACATTTCAACCTTGATCTTAGTGATTATTCCTCTGCTTGGAGTGTGCTTGCTAGAGCTTGAAGATGAAGTTGAAGAATCTTGAGATAGAAGCTAGCTTGAAGATGAAGTCTTGCTATCAACTTTGTTGTCTTTTCAATTGTGTTGTTTAGAACTTGTTGTTGCTGTCTGCTGTAGGAGTTTATTGCTGCTGCTTGAGCTGTCTCCTCTGTACCTTTTATCTTTCTCTGTATTGTCTTTTGCTTGTGTTGATTATCCTATAGGTTTGAGGTGAAGCCTGTCTCCTCTTGCCTATTATTTTCTCCCTTGCCTCTCTGGTACTGTTGCATAGCATGCATTCTTACTATTTACTGTTTACTGTTTACTGCTTGCTTTCTTTTGTTGTTTCCCCTAGGATCTCTGATTTCCTCTGTGCAAGAGGGAATTATGACAGACATTAGGTTTTTGACCTATGCATGATAACTGTAGGTAGATTCCCCTTTCAACCATAGTTTTAGGGTGTCTTTCTTTTCTCATCTCAAAACAAATTCAAAAACACAGTAATAAGGTTAATTGAAGTCGTACGTCACGAGTCTTAAGCTATCTGGGAAAAGGTTGGTGGAGGGTCTCTCTCCAGTAATCTGGATGTTGGTGTGGTACCCTTTGGGTGACATACGAAGCGTTCACTCCTGGGTCATAGTCTCTAGTGCGACTGAGATTGCAAACATCCTAAAAAACAGTTCTTTCGTAAAAAACTCAAACAAACATTCAAACTTTGTTTTTATCCTCTTGGACCATTAATTTGGAAAACCCTTTTTCAGAAGGAGATAAAAAACTGTCAGACAAACTTGTGTCTTCCGTAGCCCGAACTACGTTTGCTCTGATCTTTCATGCCGTATGAAAGTACGTAGGCACGAGATGCGATATCTCGGCGAGCAACCTTCCCCCATAACCCGTAGTTAGGCAAACTACGTTGACTCTGATTTCTCGTTCCAGACGGGAATACGTAGGCATAAAGTGCGATACTTTGCCGAGTCATTTTCTTTTCTTTTTAACCCAGACCTGTAGAATAGATAGAATAACACACCCTTAGATAGAAAACAAGCGTGGATCCCATCGAGTACGACGGACGTGAGGGGTGCTAATACCTTCCCCTTGCGTAACCGACTCCCGAATCCAGGATTTGGTTGCGATGACCATTCCTTTCCCTCTTTGCGCTAGGTTTACTCTGAGCGTTTCCTTTCCCTCTTGTGGGATAAATAACGCACGGTGGCGACTCTTCTGTCATAGCCGGCGCCGATTTTCGCAGTAGCGACAGATACTTGAGGATAACTTGGACTCTACTGTCAAAGTTGCAGTTACGACCATCAATCCTATACTTAAGCCTGTGATTAATCCAATTGTTGGTT